TGTCTGTTCTATTTGCAAGTAGAACTGACATTTTGTTGAATAAATTGTTTTGATCCTTTCAGATGTTTACTATGAGTGCCGCATATGGCTTTTGTTGTGCAATGACTTCTGACTGATTCAAGGAAGAACTCTGTTAATATGTTATGTTCTTTGTGTGAATACAAAGCCCTTTGTGACTCTGGTGGTCTCTTAAATGATTCATAGGCAGAACATTGACAATGACCGCTAACAACACATAAGCTATGTGCTTATAGCTAATGCATTTCCATAATATTATGATATCAGAGGCTGCTTTTGTTCAGGGCAGCAGGCTCACTATAGTTGTTGAAATGACATCATTATATCTCTGTATATCTTATATCTTTACCATTGGAATAGGCCCATAGTAAATGTGCTTACCAGCAGGAGGAGGCCTCTTCAGTCTCCCCCATCCCACTCCACCTCTCAGGGGTAAATGGGGCACAGACAGAGGGAGCATAGCAGATATGGATAATACCAGAATCATGGGGTGACTTTGGCGCCTCAGCCTTTGATGTAAGACCATTATGGTTTTCACAAATGCAACATGTAGGTTTCATCGAGGATAATCAGTGAGTAGGTGCATATCTGTGCAAAAATAAACAAGATCTAAAAGTGTTGCTTCAGATGGGTCAGGTGAGTCACAGCCATGTCTGCAACAGATGTATGTTTATGATGTACAAATGGATATAACAAAAGCATCTTACAAAGCAACAGAAAAAACATCTTATACACCCCTATACAGTATCTTTAAATGACCTTCCCTGCAGTGCCAGCACTGCCTGACTGGGAATACAGTCCAAACCAATTTGGTACAGTCTAATGTGTAAAATTATGAATATTTTTAAATTAAATAATAGTATGTTTTACTTGTAGTTTTGGTTCAGTTTGATCAGAAGAACTTGTGCATTCCTTTCTATACTGGAGCTGCACTGATCGATTTTTGTATAAATAGGTGACTGTATGTAACTTGTAAAGTACTAACTTACTACATTTACACAAATTACAAAGAAGAGGCCCGTAACAAAAAATATCACTATATCTTTTGCATCTTTGCCTTTACCTTTGTTCTTTAAATGAGGATTAACAGTTGCATTCAAATGAGAAAAGATACTCCATGCATTTAAACATTTCAGTCTACATCTCCAAAGCTCAAAATGTTCTATTCTGCTGTCATATAGTGGTAATTTTCAAGTTACCTTCTAGCTTTAGTTCCATTGAGCTTGGCAATTCTAGGTCTGAAATCATTCAAGGCGAGGGTGTATGGAGTTTAAAAACTCAGTGGAACACTTCCTGTATTACCAAATGAAATCACAATATGGAACAAAATGCTTTCCATTTGAAAAAAGAACCCAGTTTAAATATGCAGGCTTGTGTGTTCAACATGTGAATGAAACAAAACACAATTCTGGGTATGGTTTTGATGAGGACACAACATTATAACTTAGATCGGAAAATGGCATAATACTGGCATAATTTTAAGGGACCATGCAAATTTGGACAAAACCACATCTGAACTTATCTGATGATATGAATCTATCCCAAATAAAATTAAGTCTGGTTTGAACAAATCACTCTGACCACTGCTTGAGCAATCCTTATTTGACATTTTTAGCTTCTTTTTCTAAGCATATTATCCCTATCTTCTTTCTAGACGTCCGGAAAAGTGAAACAGAAAAAACATATCCAGAGACAGTACAAATATTATTTCACAACATCTTCAAAGGAGAACAGAGGATATTGGATCCTCAGAAGGACATAGGGCGTTCAAAGACTGACGCTCATGACGCCCTCTTCAAATATAGATGCCTTGCGCTATGAACCTCTCCTTATCCATCACAGCTTTGTTTGTCCATGCCCCAGGTCATTGGTGTCTCTCAACTTCGTTCCCCTGCGTATAGGTCTTCAATTCGCCACTAGGGGTCCCCGTGTGCATAACAAACAACACAAAAGCACACAGGCTTTATAAAACTGCACTGCACTTTCATGTGGTGTAAAAACAGCGGTAATAGTTGTAATACAAGTAGTGCCTCTTTCATTACACACTAACTGTAGGCTATAAGTAATGTCACTGAGGCGTGGAGTTAATGTTGAGGTTTTGTGGTCGGATTTCTGCTCAGTGTCAGACTCACAGGAACCATGAAGACACAAGGACAAGAAGAGCAGGAGCAGGGCTGTTGGACCACAGCTAAATACCACTTTTTCCAACTACAAATCCGGTGCATGTGAAGTTGTTATAACTTGATCATATTTTATCACAGTACAAATGGTGTGTTTACATTGAAACACTGAAGAATGTTTTTCCCTTTTTTCTTTTTGCAAATGTAAGGGGTCTCTTAAAATTCCGTAGTCCTTTTCCATTTGTTGATGTTGAAGTATTAATAATAGGCCTAATAATGCACTGGATTAATATAGTGTCTTTCAAGACTCCTAAACCTTTTATTCATTCACTCTACGCTGTGGTAAGCTTTTCACCATATAATAATGATTTCAATAATAACAATAAAATAGGCTACTATTGGAACTGGGTCATTATATTATTTACAGCAAAGTCTTACAGTGTATTATTGTAGCCAGGTACCCTGGGGTAGACTAATGGAAGTGAGGCTGCCAATTTGTGTCATCCGTCCATCCGACCACCAGTGCTCACATGCACATTCCACATTCATACTAGACTAAGTGTCTTGCTTAAGGACACAATGACAAGTTTTTGCCACTAATGCACCACTTTGGCACCTGATATTTCCAGCTGTCTCCCATTCAAGTACTAACCAGGCCCAGCCTTGTTAGCTCTGAAATCTGATTAAATCAGGCTTTGACAAGCTGGTAGGTAGTAGCCGATCCTCAAAGCCACACCAAGTTAACCCCGTAAAGTTTCTGTGCAGTGATCAACTGTATTGTGGGCATATAATTTTGTGATGATGTGTACTGGTCTGTGTTCAGACTAAAAAGATTTGAATCTGAATTTAAGTTTATAATCTAATTAAATCAACACAGAGGCCAATGCCTTTTCAACCCCCAAAATAAAATCATTATAAAACTGTTATTTGCAGTACAGTAGCCTATTCTTTAACCCCTCCCTTGCTTAAACACTTTCTCACCTGTGAGCAGTGTAATTTTTCTTCAGTCTGCCAATAGTTCATTAGCTTTAAGTCCTTTTTGGTCCCGGCTATACGTGCACTAGGCTGTAAGAGTTGGAGTGGGTCCAGGAATCTCCCACAGTTAGCCGCTCATAAGCCTTTTGAGAGCCGCCAAGAATGTGGAAACCTGTTCAAAGAGAGGCTTCAGAGAGGTGTGGCTGCAGCAGGTAGCTCAGTGCACAGGTGCTACAACAAATCCTGCACCTGTCTCTCAGGAGAGCACACCTATGATGATAAATACATATGCCCAGTTGTAAGGCAGACAACAACTCTATCAATGTTTACCATGTAACATTTGTGAAGTTTGATTTCATCTTAGTTCTCACCTTGTTATTAAGTATTGTGTCCCCACACCCATGTAACAAAGATATGCATAAAGTTGAATTAGTGCTTTCTACTTTTGTGCTAAGAAGATAACATTTGGTTAACTTTTATTATCACAAAATCCCTTGTCACACATGACACATTTTGGTTGTAATAAAAACTAAAACAAAAAATAGAATAAGTCAGCGTTCAATAGATAAATGCACTAATGGAAGTCTTTAAAAATGTTAGCCTAGCTAATGCTGGCCCTGAGCCATTTTACAAAATATGCCTTAGCTGTTAAAATAATGCAGAAGGGTGAAAGGCCAAAATGCCAATGCTTCACAACCTAGGACTGTGTGACATGATCAAAGACAGTCAGCAGGAAATGACAAAGGAGAAATTCATTTTGTGAACAAACTGGACAAAAGTTTATTTTTGGTCAAATATGTTTCACTTCTTCAGTGAAGAAGCAGCTTGCCATAGATTCTACCTGGAAGACTAAGGGATATTGCAAACATTCAGCAGGAAAGCACAGTCAAATGTCAGCAGCCAAAACAATAAGTACATATGAACTGTCAGAACCTCTTAGTGCTGCTCAGAGGGGAGCGGGCGTGGAGTGGTGAGACGAGGACTAGAGGAGGGGAGAACACAACCAGGGACAAAGAGCTGCTTGTCCAGGGTCCTGTCTGCCATAGCCCACGCAGGGAGGGGACACGCCACTTCTTCTCACTACTTGACTCTGTCACTGGGGCAATAGCCCAGGTCATGGTTGAGCAGTGGAGAGTTGACATGGGACAAGCCTAAAAGAGTCAGTCCCAAGATGAGCAGGTTTATTTCTGATGCTACAAATCATCACCAGTCCCCCAGGAAGTAAAGAAAGAACTTGTCTTTAGTCAGAACCGTTTGTTTATTGGCATTAATCACACACTATAGAGTCTGAACCTCATATTGCTGTATAGCTGTCAAATAGATGAATGGGATCCTTCTGTGGTGGAAGCACATGACAAAACATGAATAATTGTTCATTTACTTCGGTTAAATGACTGTGTTGAAATTCATGTAAAACAGAGACTGACCACATAGACTTCATGTGAGAGAATGAACAATAAACGACTAAATCTGATATAATCAATCACAGAGCCGCAATGCCTTAACTTTAAACATTGCAGGGATAAAATTAGCTATTTGGCTGCTGTAACATTAGGCCTATACACTAAAATTTTAATTAGGCTAATGAAAATAAAAGGCCATTGTTTTTGCCCTATAGGCATGGGCGCGCGTATTAAACAATGTGTTTTCCTTACATTCAATCTAGAAAAGATAAACTACTCCATACTCTCAGCTGGGGTTGTTGGAGCTCACGCGAACCTGTCACCCCCCTCTGAACCTGCCGTAATATCCGTGTGTGTGTGTGTGTGTGTGTGTGTGTGTGCGGTGGGGGTGAGGGGGGCACTGCACAAGTTGTCCCACCTCCCTCAAAAGTTGTGGAGCGCACAGCTCTACCTCTCACAAGAGTTTACTCCGGTGCTGCGCGAGCAAGGAAGGTCTCGGGAAAGTTCGACCTAAGACCAGATAGGCTGGGAGCGCGCGGGGACATGGCGACTGGTCGGCATGGTCCTCCAGCAGAGAGGCGCAAGTAAGCACCGCGAAAAGTTACCCAGAGGACTGAGCATCGTCCAGGGAATTTCCAGGAAGTGTGCGAGGAGCGCACTGTCACCCCGTGACAATGGTGTGCGCTCGGACTTTGTGCCTGCTTGTTCTGAGCGCCCTCCTGAGTCCCGGGGCACCCTGGGGTGCTAAGCGGGACAGACCGAGGCAATGCGAAACACCAAAGTTGGTGAGTCAAACAGGCATACTCTATAACACTAAAACAAATTAAATTACAATATTTTTTATTTTTGAGAATGTTAAGTGTGGCACGTTGGACACTTAAGAAATATAACTGCACAGACAGAAAGGCCTGTGCATTTTAAGCTGACTGGTTTACCTCGCTTATTCTTACAATGGCACATATTCCATATCCATAAGTAGTATAATGTAATGAATATTTAGATTGTAAAAAAGTTAAACAAAACATAGTAGGAAAATTGAGTTATTCAAAGCTCAAGTTGTAATAGTCATACTATTGTTAAAGGCCATTCCTCTGAAATGAACATGTCATTTACATTTATTTGTCTTGTAAAATGTGATGCCAGAAATGCTCCTCTGACTCTGAGTGTATTCACATGATAAGAGAGCATCCCACCAGACACGCTTTGGCAGACATATTCAAATGTTCAAAAACTGCACTGGCAGAGTAGACATATGATTGGAGGACAGTTGGAGCAAATCTTGATTAGACCTAAGTGGTAAATATTTGCTTAAAATAACTTTATTTTGACATAATGAGTTTCATCCCTCAATGGTTGATTAGTCCATGCCTCAATAGCCAGAACTCTGGTACTGTTTATGAAAACCAATTCCTTTTTCATATTTGGACCATGGCTGCATCAAAGACATGGCGCATTAATTGAGCTCTTAAATAGAAACATATTTAACATATCCTGGTTTAATGCTTATTGGATTGCTGTGAATTTTTCATCTTCATCTTTTAACTTCTATTTACTCCACTACAAGCATTTTAATGCCTTATTTAATGCTTTGAAATATATGCATTCTTATGTGAGCAGGGTTGCCCCTTCACAGATCTGACCTGTAACCTGGCCTGGTCTTGTCTTCTGCTAGTTTTCATGTGAATAGATATATGGATAGGTGGTGAACCTTCAAATAGAAAAGTTACACAGTGTTTCTTAAAGTATTTTGCAAAACAATACTATCACCAAGAGGTCAGGAGTTTTTATGAGCTTCAGCACAGTGTATTTGCACTTCTGCCTTTAACATTCTGCTTCCCAGGCAAAGAAGCTTTGCCAACCAAGACATGGCTCTAACAATACACCAGAGTCTGTTTATTACCCAAAGGCCCCTCCATAAAGTTTTTCCACATGCGGATACACTACTAACTTGCTGTCATGTGAAAATCACTCTATATAACTTGTTGAGCTAAGTTTATAAGGCAGCAAACCACAACAGACGACAAATGGGCCAACTAATTTTAAACAGCAGCAGTTTCCTCATAGAAACACACACATTCATCATATAATACTGCAACAGAGACAAATGTAATCCCTCTTGTAACAGATTTGTATGCATATATTTTTGGATGCTTCCCTTGTAGGGAAGGACAGGGAGGAAAAAGTTGAACTTTTTTTTTACTGCCAGGTGTTTTATTGTAGCTGGTATGTAAAGTATCTTGTCCAAGAGCCCAACAACAACATACACTGGATCATAGAGTATTACAGCATTTAATCTTCAAACTTAAATTGTTTCCTCTAGTAATGCAATAAAAAAGATTTTCAGTTTACAGTTTTAATCTGCTCACACACACAAATAATGATCACTCTTATAGCTTATATATTTTATAATGAACTTCATTCATTGTTCTCTCCCAGCAAAGTGAAATGAACTCCTTTTTATGGACGATAAAGCGAGAACCTCCACACCCTCCTTCTTACCTGTTTGGTACCATCCATGTGCCCTACACGCGAGTTTGGGACTACATACCAGACAACTCTAAAAGGGCTTTCAACACTAGTCCTAACATCTTCTTTGAGTTGGATTTAACAGACCCTTTGACTATTTCCAAACTCACCAGTTGCCAACTCCTTCCACATGGAGAGAACCTACAAAAACTTCTACCTCGAGATTTGTATCGCCGCCTCAAACGCCACCTGGAATACGTCAAACACATGATGCCGTATTGGATGACGGCTGACCAGCGTGGACGTGGACTTTATGCAGATTATCTTTTCAACGCTATAGCAGGAAACTGGGAAAGGAAAAGGCCGGTGTGGGTCATGCTAATGGTGAACTCGCTAACAGAGTGGGACGTAAGGTCAAGGGGCACGCCAGTGTTGGATCTGTTCTTGGCCCAGGAAGCTGAGAGGATGGGCAAGACCACAGGCGCAGTAGAGAGAGTGGAGGAACAGTGCCACCCACTCAATGGACTCAACTTCTCTCAGGTAGGATCATTGAATAAGTTTCATAACTATCTTACCTAGCATGTTCTTTCCTATTCACACAAGCACTGTTCCTTTCTTTCTCTTTGTTCACTACTCAGATGTTAACCAATAACATTATTTATATCAGAAGGGTAATTTAAGTAGTTAGAAGAACATTTTGAAAAACTTTATAAGGTCGAAATGCAGCATTACATTGAACTAGTTCAATCGGTAGATAGGGCAGTTTGAAGAGAATAAAAGCCCTTGGGACAAAAGTCAAAAGGGTGTGTCCAGGGGGAAAAGCCAGGTGATCTCTGAAGATACCATAGCAAAGCTCTCGTCCAAGTCTCACTGTGCTGATTTTCACTGTCCTTGTTTTTGGTTTGGTTTTAAGATGAGGAGCCATTCTCTTGAAATATTTCAACTCTTCCCAAAGTGCAATTATGTATTTGAATAGTTGTAAAGACGAACATCTGCCCTCCTTATATATTCCCCTGTAAAGTACTTCTCCAGAAAATGATTTAATCAAAACAAAAAATGTCTCCCAGTGTGTGCACCATGGGTGATTTTTTGTGTTATAGTTGCAGAATGTGGGAGAAGTCAATATGAAGGGAAGAAAAGTGATTAAAACCTGTCCAGTGTAGACAGTTTTATGGTTACAGATGTCTCCCACCTAACAAGACAAACAGGCCCACAGCTGAATCTGCACTGAGGGTGTCAATGTGAGCGATGCACACAAAGAATGGATCAGTGGAAGTGAGAAAACCACACAGCGATTACTACATTAATACACAGTGGATATGAGCTTACTGTAACCGGAAATGCAAGGGCATGAGAAATATGCTGAGTGAAATGTGGGGAATGTGTCTTTCCTAACTGAATTACATTTTTGAGCCTTATTAAATAAATATTTATTGGGTGATCAAGGTGTGAGATTACTCTTTAGGATCCAAGTTATATGCAATAAAATATTAGCTTATTAGAGCAGTAGTTCTTTAGTCATTTAGTCCATCAATCAGTTGATGCTTTCTTAGCCTGACCTTGTACAGCAAAATAGATTCTGGTGATATTTGTCAGTTCACAAATTCACTTGAAGGACCCCACTTAAAGGATAATCAGCTGGGGCTGACCAATCACAGAGCAACACAAAGGTTTGTGTGGAAATCAAAGGCAAAACGCCTTAGTGACCCAAACCAAACATATCGACACAGACAGACATACCTCACCCTATTTTAATGCCTAAGCGTACTTTTTGTTAGTGAAAAACATGCAGAAGGTAAGAGCTTTGTGCATTTGTGGACAGGGAACATGTTTGTGCTTTTGCCAGTTGAGAGAAAAGCACAGAAATGTTCCCTGTGCTTTTCTCTCAACTGGATGTATCAAAAGTTTTTTCAGCTTGTTTATGAAGCTTCCTCAGATTGATCATGTGGAGAACCCAGTTCATAGTGACATACATATCAATCTGATGTGACCCAGGTTAGAGTATTATTTGACTAATCATTTTATTTAGAAAATAATTTATATGGGACAACCACAGAAAAGAGAAGTTAGGAGTGAGTGTGTCAGAAGATTTGGTATTTATTGACATTCATATGAAAAAGGTCTAATCTGAGTTTTTAGTACAGTAGACAGTACAGTACAGTTTTCTGTACTAATATCACTAACACAATAATACTACAATTACTTTAAAACTACTTCAAAAGGATGACATATATGTGTTGGGGCAGTTCTCATCAAACGTGCTGCACATGTATGGAACGCCACACACGCTGGTAATCAGCCGCCATCCACTGTCCCATGCACGCAGGCAGTGGAGAGGTGGTGCAACTGTATATGCAAGACCCAGTCTCCATGTGACAGGTTGGGGACCACTGGGCTAATTTGAGATCTAGTGGGCTCCTAGGCTCTCCTCTTTCATCAGCTCCTCCTAACTACTCTGTCAAAATCATAGTGCTTTGCCCTGTACATGCCTCAGTGCTTTACTGCAACTAGAAATAATCCTGGCAAAGGCGGCAGGTCTTTTCACTAATGAAGAGGACAAGCCGCTGACATTAGCACAGCTTCACAACTTGTTTGACGCTGTAATGGGCTGTTGTTTTTTTGTCATAGAAGAATTGTGTGTGACATTTGATCCAATGAGAAAAGGAAAAATATTTTGTGCTTATATGATATAAAGAGCCACCATGTTTGTTTTGCTTATTAAGATGTTATGTTAAAATGTTATTTGCTTGTTTTGGAATATGCTTTTGGCCAAGAGAGAATTCCCATTTATTGTCCTGTAGATTCATTCAAACCATACACAGACTATAGGAAAGTGTCTTGCCCAAGGACACAACAGTATGCATTGGCTAGAGCAATTGCACCGATCTGATTCTGGTATCGTATATCAGTGCTGATACTGAGAAACTTGCTGGATATCAGCTTTCAAATATCGGTTCAGCCAGTATCCTGGTTGGAAATTGATGTAATAAGACTATTTAATGCTTGTAGTTGGCTCAGAAAGTCTCATAATATTTGAACTTTTATTTATACAATGCTGTTCTGTTGTTACATAACAGATAAATAACAGCTCCATAGCACATCTGGATCAATTTAGGCTAAGTTTTGTTTTAAGGAATTAAATGCTGTTTTTGGTCTCTGCACTGCTATCAGTTGATATCAGGATCGGGATCAACAGACACTTGAATCTAAAACTAAAGCTAAAGCTAAGCATCTGAAAATGCTGGATGAGTGCACCCCTACTAGAGCAGAGATCAAACAGCAAACCTTTGGATTAGTAAACAGATACTTTCTCATTGAGTAACACGTGATATACTATAAAGTGAGATTTTAAACCTCAGATCTTGTGTGGATTTAAGTTTTGTGATCTTAATGAGCATCACTAGCTTGATCCTAAGCTTCTTTTTGTTCATTTTCAAATGAAATAGCAATTTCAAAACACTAAAATGACAGCTGGATGTGGGATAATTACAAATGTTAAACAGCCACAGAATTTGAATCACTGTTTTACCATGGAAACCGTTCAAAACTACCGGTACATCTTACACAGCTGTATCCCAGAGCTTACTGCCCCACTCTTACTAGATACGAACAACCCCAGGCCAAACTGACATTGACATGGAAGTCATTATTCTCAATTATAATAATTTGTGATTTACTCTGAACACTTTGGTTGATTGGATGCTTTAGTGGTTGACTGCTATAGCAATGAGGTCAGGAGGATGGATAGTCAAAGAGAATGTGTGGGTGGGAGCTGAAAGAATAAAGGAAAGTGCAGAGGAACTGAAGATTTAGACCGAATTTTGAATAGAACAGACAGAAGTGGAGTTGTAGTATGTAAAACACACACCATCTCACTCAGTTAAAGCCAATTCAAAGCATGAAAAATCATGCAAAGGCAGCTAAGAAAGTCCGAATTGACTGACCCAAATGTTAGTTGTTCCCAATAAAAACTGTTGCTTACAATATCCTGTAACTTCACCACTCTCACTGCACACACAGCCAAATGGAAATGGGAGAGCCAGCGATTCATCATTTGTCACATCAGACGTTTTAAATAAGTCCCTGTGGTACCAGTGCAACAGGGTTTGAACTCAAGTTTTGGATTGTCCAGCTCTGAGTATAAGAGCAACAGGTTAGTCTGCCTGAGGGACTGTGACCCCAGAGGAAGTGGCTTTTTGGACAAGGTATGCTCAATAAATCATTCTAGTTGCAGTGGACCCCAATCCTGAAAAGGGTGAAACACTTTGTACAATTAAAAACAGAATGGAATTCATGTTAGACACATTTTGATACAAAAATCACAAACATGTATAAACAAAATATTCATGCCATTTCAACAGAGACTATAAAATATAATTATGCATCATTGTCATCTACTACCAGCTGGGAGGGAGAAACAAAAAGCCAAAATACAAGTGGATTAAAACATTCAAAGATGTGTATAAATTAATCTGTCTGCACATACGAATGCTCATTGTCCTCATCAACACTTCATGAGGTCCATGAAACTCAGAAATGTAAACACTGACTGCCCACAAGATATTTAACAACATTTTGTATTTCAGTGTTTACAGAAATTAATCGTAGATTGATTGATGCTGTTTATCAGACCAGAGCCCCAAATATCTCTGAAGGCCCTGTGATAACTGAGCTTTCAGACTTTTTTTAAATTTTTTATCAGAGGTGTGGATTCTCACAGGCCCTCTGTAAACAACAAAGTTGTGGAGTATGGTTTTTCTCCTGGTATTTCAACCAATAGAAGCTGACAGCCAGGCAAATGAGCCAACAACAAGTCTAAGTGCATTACAAAGGGAAATGGCTGAAGGACGCTCAAGGCCCATATTTACCAGGAATTTATGTTCATAAGAAAACAAAATTTAAGGTGCACTATACTACTATTTAATAAAACATTTTTTACCAGGTCTACCAGGTCAGCTGTGTGGTGCCCTACTCACAGTGAGAATCATGATATTCAAGTTTGAGTGTAAGAAATAAAATCACCTGTAACTGAATAAATGCAAGATAGATATGTTTAATGCCATACTGTGGAACATTCCATGGAAAGCACTAACATTCCCAGAGACAAGCAGGTGTCAAAATACATAATGCACCATTAACTTTATTTTTGTGAGAACTTAAATTGTCTTAAGCAATTTAATTGTCCTACTTTCTGCATCTTATTATTATTTTTTGAGATACTAATAAACACCCAAATATTTATTCTACCTTGTGGGTTGCTATGCTGCTGGAACCACTGATGCATGTCAACAAGAAGAAAGACATCATATTGGCGGCGCCTGTCTCCTGGGCAGGGGTCAAAGTTCACGGTGGAAAGTGGCAGCGCAGTTGTTTAGCAGCAGAGCTATTTGGAGTCTGTTAGTCTGCGGGTCACTCTGGACACTCTGGAGAGGAGTCACCTCATCGGTTTAGGCTGGCCAGACCTGACCTATAACCCCTACTGGTTCCTGTGACATTAGAATACACTGTACTGTTGTTGTTGACTGTTTGTAGAAGTCAGC